TGATTTGGGTTCCAAAATTGAAATGCATGAATGCACGTCATGGTTGTAGATGTGTTGCCTTCCATGCTCTCATGTGACTTTGGCTTCGGTCCTTCTCTGATTGAATTTGCATGGATTTGCAGCTGGGTGTGCATGGATCTTTTGGATTCGCCGTATGCTGCTCATATCTGCTCATTTGTGGGAGACACAACGCAGCAATGACTGCTATGTAGGCGGTCACTGCAGCAGGTCCAGCCTGGGCCTTGGCTCGTCACCACTTGCCCATCCATGACCTTAGTCAATTAGTCATTGGAAGGATGGGGTAAGACCTGCCGAGCCATGCAAAAACCGAAAACAAACAAAAAACTGAGGACGCTTGGACCTGTGCAATTTGACTGTGAGATTTGGATAACCCTCAAGATTCCAATGCAATGCTGCTGCTTCTGAGTGATTCAGACTGCTTGCGCATCCTGCCACGCAGCACCGACCACCTCCTTGAACTTGGGATTTGGATAGCACCTGGGCAGCCGTTAAACGGCAGCACGCCTGAGAGAATTTTTGGGAAGGGCACTGGGTGAAGTGTGCAGAAGCTCGCTATGGACAACCTATTTCAAAAGTCATGAGCAAAATAGCTGCTTGAAACAAGGGCATTGCTACTAGTAACAAGGGCATTACTACTAGGAGCAAATAGCTACTAGTAGCAAGATTCTTTTCCATTTTTTAGCCCGCCCTCAAGTTCGCTCCTAGCGGCTGGACGCTACTACATATGGACGCAGGATAGCTCAGGCCCCAATGATTTGGTTCCTAGATTTTAAGGAAACTTAATTTAAACATAATATATAATTAGACTGGAACTTTGGCAGAAAATCTTTAGCCTGGCAATGTGATGTAGAGGTACTCTTCCTAGTTCGACAATCTTTCACCAATTGGGCATGAATTCCCATTTGACGGCCTTCCAACCAAACCTCAACCTTTTTGGAGTTCCCCTTCGGCAGGGCCCTGGCGTGGCTTTCTCCGGCAGAAGGCCATGGGAGCCAAAGACCACGGCCGGGGACCTAGGAAGGACCATCAAACAAACATCCGGAGATCGTTCGAACGACCCGGAGGAGATCTGGAGGACATTGGTCTCCCAGTCCTTGTCATGCCTCACAGATTTGGATTTCCAACTAGAACAATCTGAAACAAAACTCGAAGAGCAACATGTTCCATTTTCTGTCTGAGTTCTACCAACGGGGTGGGGGCGGGGGTCCGAATGTGCAGGCTTATTCGAACCAGTCGATGGTTGAACATGATGCGATTTGTGGAAAGAACATGTCAACGTTCCGCACAAGCCATTGATAGCCTGTGGAGGGTGAGTTGAACATAACATAACTGCCAAAAGCCTCCACTTTGCGCATATAACTTGGCCCGTGGCACGCGGCTTTGCAATGACTGGGTACCCCAGCGCGCAAACGGCTGCGAAGAGCTTTCCTTTACTCGATTGCTCCTCTCACCGAGACAGGCTTGCAAGGCTGTTTCATGAGATAAGGGTGCGCTTAAGACCTTGACTGGAGTTCTATGTGTCACAAGAGCGTGTAAAGCTCCAAAGCCACAAAAACACCAAATAAACTCAGTCCGAAGCACTCGCCTTCAGCAGTTCGATCAGCACTGCGCTATCTCTCAGGGTTTCAGCTCCGGGCATTCCTGTCGGCGAATCCGGAATCTGAAGCTAAGACTCCCTTGGATGCCACTAGTAGGTTGGAGGCCGTCGCTATTAGAAACTAAGAAAGGTCTAAAAGCTATATAAGTTCTTTTGACCCCCAGTGCTCCCGCCACCTCCAGGTAGGGCAATCGCATCCCATTCTTGTCCCTTGCATTCTTCAATGGCGCAATCAGCAACCACCTGGACCGGAACGAGGCCACGAAAGTGTGGAGTGTGATTCGAGCTGCTAGTTGACTCAAAGAGGTTTTATTACTTTTCTTGAGTTCGTACCTGCAATTGTGCTGTTTTCTCCGCTCCGATGTCATTCGGGCAAATCCTCTACAAAAGTTCTGCTCTGAAACGATTGATTGATTGTCCACTCCAACCAGTGTCCATTGTATAGCTCAAGCATCAAGTGTATGGCCTTCAATCCTCGGGACATCTTCACCTACAGGTCGCGTTTCATGAAATGTTTGCCCTCTTGGCATTGCGCAGGATGGAGTCGTATGCAGCCATTATCAATACTTACTGCTTGAAAATTGGCCCGAGTGTTCCAAAGTATGCTTCATGACTGTCCGAGCGAAGAGAGTCGCACAGTCTGTGGTGACAGTGTGGAGCAATGAACTCATTGAAGCTCCACTAGCACCTGCAGCCAAGTCACCTGTAACTGCCCTGGCACCACACTGGCGACAGTCACTTGACATCCACAGCGAGTCAAGGTGTCGGTAATGCAGGAGGTCTCAATCTCCTTTCACAGCCACTTGTGGGTAAATGGCAACGCTCCGTGACAGGCTGCTGGATGGGAAAACACAGGTGTCCGTCGAACAATTCCTTGCCATCTTTCAGGATATCTAAGATGTCGGTGAACTGCCATGTCTTGGCCATATGTTCCCAGTGTCCTCCGAACCATCTGCCACTGGAACAAGGACCTGCAATTGCAGAAAGTCCAAGCAAAACTCTGCCCGCAAAATGTTGCTGAGACTGTATGTCGGTCCTGCTTCTTTAGAGCAGCAGTTCATACGAGCAAAAAAAACGTAAACACCATTTACTTGACTCAGGGTCTGGACTTGATTTACATGAATTCTCAAGCTTCTGGGCTTCCAAGCACAAAGGGCATTGCTTAAACGATTGGATCTCCACCCAGGACTCAAAGAAAAAACAAAGAGTCAGCCAACACTAGTAGCTGCACCTTCGCCATCAGTGCACGGCAATGGGTGAGAGGCGTGGTACTATTTTCACAGCTGGAGCCAATGCCATTTAGTAGTGATGAAATCCAAGAATTCCTTCTCCATGCCAGGGGTTGGAATATCGGCTTGAAATTGTACATGGTGTCAGTCCATTTTCCCAGTACATTGCAACGTAACGCAGTCCTTGTTGGCATGTTTCACCACAGCAAAGCAGATTCAAGTAGAGTCTGAGGTCATAGCACCCACTCATCACAATGTCGCAACTGTCAGCGTGACACCTTCGTGGCCTGAGCCAGCGATGGACCAGTCTGAGATGTCTGTCTGCCCCACATCCCAACTACTCCACAAAGGCTCACTTGGGTTCATGTCAGTAAGATCGCCATGCAACGATCTTGTGTTTCATAATTATCTAGACAAGACATCCACTAAGGTGACAAAAGAATCGCTTGCAAACAGTGGAAGAGGCTTCAATCGGCAGCATCTGGGTGTGGCAACACTTGCAGCTGATTGCTGTCCCTGACATTTGTAGTATTTGATTTCAATGCGGTTTCAAGAGATTGGGAAAGCCTTGGCGTCTGACGCAAGGGCTCAATGGACCGAACATCTCAGGTTCAAGCTTGTGGTTGTTGGGTTCGCGGAGCAAGCAAAAATGGGGTAGGTAGCCAAATGGGCGGTGCGAAGAAAAAACCGTCCTTTCAACGTAACATATGATCAAATATTCCACGCGAGTTTGATCTGCACTTGCAAACTAAAGCCACCGAGCCAAGCCATAACGTGCATCCAGCAAGGTGCTTGTCGTTGGGCATCCGTTCACTTGAAGCTGCAATTCTCTGCGGGCCTGGGCCAGTCAAGGACTTGGCCTTGGGCGTTGGTGCTTGACGTGATGTAACTCCAGAAATACCAAGTTCCGGGTTGCACCCGCCAATTCTGAGCAATCTCTTGCTTGGGAGTCAACCAACACAACGAGGGACTTGCGCGACGGACTCGGATTCTGGTCTTTCTTTTTGACCCTGTCTCCCCCTTGGAAGGGCACAACGAGTCGGGTGAAACAAGATGCACACGTTCTTTCATGTGATCTCTCCTCGAGGGCTAAGCTGAAGATCATCCCATAAACAACTGAGAAGACCAAGGTTGCAGGCTTGCTGGATGAAACAAGGTGAAACAGCCTGCAACAAGGAGCTGCCAATCATGTTGTCCGTGTGTTGTGAGGTCTTGTGTCGCCTTGTAGACCATGGCTGCACACATACTCACCATTGTTGTTGTGCTGCTATTTTCACCTCCAGCTCATCCCAATTCCACGCCTTTTCAAGGCAAAGTCCCGGGGGGAAGCACAAGTCTTCTGGATTCAGCTCAGGATCTGACACTTGGTGCATTTGTTTCCCTCAACCGTTTCGCAAGAACTCTCATGGGAAGGTATATAGTATTCCTTATTCATATCCATATGTGTGCTTTTCGTTGTAGGGACATACGGAGAAGAGCTTGACACCCACCTGGATGGTCTGTCTTCTTAGGCCCTAGACCGAGGTACTGTGCCAAACCATGCGCCAAACAAATGAAGTTGCGCTGGGAAGTTCAGCATGGACCGTAGTTTCAATCAGCAACACAGGCACGTCACAGACCCTCTCACCCTATATCCAATCTTAGTCTACTGTACTCTGTACTCTTTAAAAAAGAAAAGCTTTTTTTAAACAAATATCACTTTTGTGACAGGCTTTCTCCTTCATCAAGGATGTGTCCGAATCCGTTCGTTCAGAAAAGCTTATTCTTTCCAAAAAAAGAGAAAAACAAAAACATATTTGCAAGAAAACACAATCCGTACGTGTCTTTCAGTGCGACAGGTTATTCGTGTTGCATTCGTCACTGCTGTGTTAGCTCGGTGAATGCATTGCTGATGGGGCCGATTTGCATTGAAAAAGAGCTTGAAAACCTTGAATTTTCTTGTTGCGTTGGTAAATTGATGTATTTAAGGCAATAGGCCCCATGACCCTCCCCTTTGACTCCATTCAGGGGAACATGTGTTGCTCCATTAAAGAAGTTCAGCCACTTTGGCACCAGTAGAGTAAGCCAACAGCCAGTGCAAAATCAAAAGACTCGGAGCAGTTGAGGAGAAACCGCAAACTCATCTCAAAGTGCTCCCCCCTTAGGGAAAACCCTCACGGCTGGGCATCCACATCTCTCCTGGCATGTTGGGTCTATCCCTGGGTGGTGTAATCCGTGGTGTAAATGTTGATTTATCCGGCTGCTGGGTCGTGTTTTTAGGATGCTAAAGCCGAGGATGACAAAAGAAAGTTGTTAGAAGCAAAAAGGCTGTGATTTATGTTCTTGCTGTGCAAGATACAAATCCTTAGCTCCAACCCTCAAGTCATTCCGGACAGTGAAGCCTCAGACAGTCATTTCAATTCTTTCACCCACAACGAGGACTTGAAGCCTTGGAACTGTAACTACAATCATCGAGTTCCAATCGCCAAGCTTGAGGACCATATCGGAATTGGATACGAACTAGATCAAACTGTCTATTCCTCAACAGCAAAAGCTTGCATGCGTCTACCATAGATAAAGGATTGGGGCAGCTTTCGGAGCAGGCTCTTGAGAGGTTTCGGAGAAGACCCTGAAGGAGTTTGTGGAGGCAGGTGAGGTTCTGGAACAGTTGGCCAAAAGGTTCCACAGCAGGTTCACAAGGAGGCTGATAGGGGAAAGACACATCAATGTAACCCTTTGCAATATGCGCTTGTGCAATTAGCATGGAATGCTTCATACTTGCAGCAATAAATATCTTCTGATATGGAAACATGCAGCCGCTAGTCAAAATTCAATGTTTCATGCCATAGTATCTTCAAAGCCAACCTTAATAAAAAGTCCCAGTTCCTTTCTACCAGGGTAGTGGGGATTGCATCGTTTTGACAGGGATGTCATCGTTCTTTGTAACTCCTGGTCACCAGCAACGGTTTACCCCATGGGGTCACCTGTCACGTCACCTGAGAACTCTTGAGGCAACCCACAGGGTCCTTGGCTCATAGCTTCGCCTCTGCTCGGACACTGGCGCTTGCCGAGGGGAAAAGTGAGGTGAAAATTGTAGCGTCCTTGCTCCTAGTAGCGATGCCAGGAGCCCCTAGTAGCCTCC